ATTTCTACTGTAGTTAAGCTTCCCTCAGAAATTTAACTACAGTAGAAATGTAAAGAAGAATATGCTTTACTTTTAAAAATGATCTAACCCTTCTTGTGACCTTAGATATATACTAGGATTAGAAATAGATCTGGAGGAAAATTAAGGGGTTGGGGAAATCTCTGAAAATTTTAATGAAAAATGTTTTTCAATTGGCTACCATTCCTAGTGGAAAAGAGGAACTACCTGGGCTCCACTTCTGTAGGAGGATGCTGGAGGTGCAGTGGGAGGGGAATGCAGGGACCAAATGACTTCTCTCAATATGAAAGGGATGAACTTTTAAGCGTGTATTCTTTTTGGCGTGTATTCCAAATCATCATCTCTTTAATGCTCTCCAGAATACTTAAAATAATCCTGTGCACACTGTTGTGATGGTGATGGATGAGCATTTGTTATGACTTTGTGGGTTAAGGCATCAAAAATTTTGTTTTCCAGGCCTGCTCCAAAATGCAAGCCAGCTTGCATTATAGGGACACTCCTGGTTTGGAGAGTTAAATTTTAAATCGGGAGTCTCATTTAAGAAATTTAGAAAAATAAAATTTGGTCAAAAATGCTGAATTGAATGTTGGGTAGAATTTAGCAGCAACCATAGCCCTTTGCTAATTCTTAAAACTAAATTGTATTATTTCATTTTCATGGTGTCATATTGATATTAAAGGACAGAAATGTAAATTTTACTTTTGTTTTCTTATTTGGGTCATTGACCTCTTTGTTTGTTTGTTTGTTTTATTATGACCTTTGCCCAGCTGAGAAGAATGACACCACAGCTTCTATTTTCTTAGTGAAGACTAGAGGAGCAAGGGAAGAAAATGGTTTATGGATGTGGTGCATATGTAATATGTGTGCACAGCTTTCTTGTTTCCTGTTGTCTGAGGAATGATGGGTAAAGGGCATACAAAACTTATGCAGACAGGCTGTGTATTCCAAATTCTTCAATTTTACAGCCAATGGCTCTTCGAATGGCAACAGAAGCTGATAAATTGAATTTGTCATATGAACACACTTATTTTACTCAGTTGTGGTATCATCGTAATTTCTCCTTGCTTTGTCATCCTTGAAAGTAAAGTTGAAAGTTAACTTAAACTAAACCATATTTAATAAAAACTCATCTAAATGTTAATAGTGACATTAGATGGATTTGTAGGTTCAGCTCCAAATAGTGACTTGTATGTGTGAATTTAGCACTAAAAGCATTGGCAACCTGCAATTCCCTTGCTGTTATTCCTAAACTTATTCTGAGGAGAGAGAAGTAATCGTGACAAATTGCAGGTGGTTTTGGAGACAAATGTCGATTGGTGATCTCCTACTAGTATCACCCTAATTCCTTTTCACAGGATTTGAACTTGAGGTGATAGGCTTGTGCAGTAATGTTCTGTACCATAAAGCCCTCTGATCCTCCAGGCAGTCCCAAAATTTCACTTTAAAGGACATTGGCAAGTAACTTGATCCCAAAATATTACCTATTTGTACCCTCTTTTTTATATGTAATATTTTAAAACCTTGTATGGGAAGTGTTGCTGGATCCCCCCCGCCTCCCATTAATATGATGACTAGAATCCAGAGCCTCTGTTAAAACATTACGAAATGAAAGTGGAAAAATAATAGCTCATATTTTGTGTGTTTGTACTACTGAGCCAAGAACAATTGTGTGTTCCCTCTTATGGCATTGCAGCAGCAGTTAATTAACAACCATATTCCCAGAGCTGCGCTAAGGACATTAGGGATGCTAGTAGTCAAACAGAGAACTAAACAAATTATTAACTTGTTTTCCAGCTTGTGCTGCCACAGTGGAATGTGGGGGTGGTACTCTGAAATGCCTTGTATATGTCTGATGAAGTGGGCATTCACTCACGAAAGCTTATGCTCCAATACATCTGTTAGTCTTAAAGGTGCCACAGGAGCCTCTGTTGCTTTGTATAGATAATGTACCTGGTATGAGGGGCAGCACAGGAGATGAGAGTAGTGAAGCAGTTGATTTTAAACTTCTTTATAAATGCAAGTAAATACATATATACACACAGACCTGGTCACAATTGGTAGGCACACTGTTTTCAGACATTTAAAGACACAGTAATTTAGGACCAAAATTTATTTTGGTTTTGCTTTCAAAAAAAATATATATATAGTAAATAGGGTTGGACATTTGAATGGTACAAAAATGATGGGTCGAATATTGTTAAGATAATGTCAAAAGTGGTCAGATATTTTAAAAGCACATTACTTTATTGGAACAGTAACAAAAAAGACTAAGACTTCATGGTCTCCAGTAGTATTCGTCATAAATACTGGCATCTAATTACAAAAACCAGGTCACTTAACTGAGTTATTTTAATTCAGAAAAATACAAAACATGATGAAGTTCTTTAAAATGAAAGAATATTTTAGCAATGTTAGCATTTAAATGTGAATGTTATTCAAGACTGAATAGAAAAGAAAAGAAAAAGGAAATAGAATAGAAATAAAACAAACACCTAGGAATTATGAAAGATTGAAGTCTGTATTTAAAGTCTGCCAACGCTAGGTAGGCAACAAGCCAACTCTTCAAGCAGTTCAATGGCCGTGCATCCATAGGTGCTGGAACTAGCGGTGCTGGGGAGGCTGCAGCATCCCTCAGCTTGAAGTAGTTTTCATTATATACAGAGTTTACAGTTTGGTTCAATGGCTCTCAGCACCCCCACTATACTTATTGTTCCAGCACCCTTGCATGCATCTTTTCTCTTGTGGGAAGAACGTTGAATGACTGGGAGCCTTCCTCTCCATCCCTCATGGCCTTCAGAATTAATTTCTCTGTGTAGACAGTTTAGATTGTAAGCTCTTCAGGGGAAGGAGGGCATAATTTAACTTATTTAATGTGCTTTGTAAACTTCCATGTATATTGATACCCTGGTATACAAATGAAGTTATACATACCTACATACGTTGTTTGTTCAAATATTCCAGCCAATCAAGATGCTCAACCTTCAGTTAATTCACCTTTTTCCCAACCCTTGGCATTAGTATGTAGCAAAGTGAGTGATTAAGACATTTATGTGGGCTTGGTAACAGATGGCACCATGGTGCAATCAAAAAGGTAGGCCACAGCCTACAGCAGGGCATTCTTGCTGGAATATTTGACTGTGGTCAAATAATTGGCATTACTTGACTGGTCAATTGACTGGCTTTCCAAGCCTAATTTTAAAAGCAAAACCTAAATTTTGGCACTAGACTATTTGTCTCTTTAAAGTCTGAAGACAGCCTCTCTACTGATTTTGTGCTTGTTTAATGGGGAATGGATCTCTTGATTGCCTGTTCTATTCATTCTCTCTGGTGCACCTGGCATTGACCACTGTCAGAAGATAGGATACTGGGCTAGATGGACCTTTGGTCTGACACAGTATGACAGTTTTTATGTTCTTATATTCTCCCAATATTAATAGAATTATTTAAATGAAAAGAGATTTTTGTCTAGATTTAAAAATTTCCTGCGGTGTTTGCAACCCAGAAATTTCAGCATTATGCTAATGCATGATATGAACCAGAAAGTAAAACTTGGTGTAAACAAGTAAAATGGACTGGTCTATTTTTTTTTTTTAATGTCCAGGCTGGATTTGATGCAGTAACTAAGTGGAATAAGAGGTGGAAAGGAATTAAAATTATAAAATGAATTCAGTTTTCATCACCTAGTAACATGAGTTAGGAATTCTCAGTGTTCTGTTTTGTTTTTTGTTGTAAATGAAGTGTGTGACTTTTAATGCATCAAACCTTTTAACCTACAAAGTAGATGTCTTTTTTAAAGTATGTTGATTGATAAATTTAAGAAATCTTAAAGTATGGAAGACTTGCTTTAATGTTTCCAGATACACCAGTGACCCCCAGTATGATGGTTATCAGGGATGCAATGTCTCAATAATACAGTATTGTAGATGTAGCTGTCCTGAATCTTTCCTAAAGCTTCCATTCATGTTCACGCTGAGCATCCATACAATCTGACCCACCCTGGGCAGTAGCCGGAATCAATATAATTACCCTACAGCTGGCGAGGCAGGAAGCCTCTTAATACCACTCCAATTTAGCTGCTAGGAAAAGAGGGCTAAGCGGGGATAATACTGCAACCTAATCCTGGAAGCTGAGAGCGTCACCTGAGCTTCTAACTACTGCTGCCTTAAGGAGAGTGAGAGCAAGAGCACTTGAAGTTTGCTTGAAACCTGGAACTTCGAATAATGACAATACACAGATTGCAACCCATTAGACCATTGCTGGGACAACCCATTTTGTTTTATGCTGAAATATCCTCCACTTTTCCACACGCCAAGAGAGCAGTCTTAGAGCTCTTTCACTAATGTTTGACTGAGACAGACCATGCTTGTGGGATATTGTATGTAAATAATGATTTCTAATAGAGCAAAGCTATTAATACAAAAAAGGAAGGGATTTTTGAAAGGCACGCTGCCAGTAATTAAAGAGAAGGGTCTGTCTGCAAAGTATTGTGGTTTAATCTAGATAGATCTATGTCTGTAGACACATGGGCAGTAAATACCTGAGATGTAGTGTAATGTATATTAAGATCTTTCCGGGGAAAGGAGCATTATGCCATGGTTCTGCAATACTACTAAAGCAATATTTAGTTCCATTCCCTTCTCCCACAATAACCCCTGTTTTTAACATTTTCTGTAAGCAGTGACTCACTTTTAATCATGTGTAAGGGATATAAAAACTAGGTCCAAGATTTTTTTTTAACAAAATGTTTGAATAATAGTTTTTGGGCACATGTGCATGTTGAACAGCTGATGTTAATTTGCTGTCTATGGTATAGCCACAAGCTATAAAGAAAGAATAGAAGATTCATATTACTTAACACGTATATGCTCAAAAATGTTTTCAGACAGACCTGATGGTCAGCAGAGCTTTGAAAGATTATCTTTTTTGCAACTAGTGGCTTTTCCCAGTAAAGTGACCAGATATTTTTTGTTTGTGATTTCCAGCTGTCCCATTTCCTCCAAGCCACCGGCTCACAGCTAAGGAAGTGTTTGATAATGATGGAAAACCCCGTGTGGATATCTTAAAGGCACATCTTATGAAGGAGGGGAGGCTGGAAGAGTCTGTTGCTTTGAGAATAGTAACAGAGGGTGCTTCAATTCTCCGTCAGGAAAAAAACTTGCTGGACATAGATGCCCCAGTCACAGGTAAGTGCCAATTTTAAATTGGAACATGCAAACACATGCAATCAGGTATATACTACTCCCCTGAGAGGTCGGTGAAAGTTTCCTACTCCACTGACTGCTCTCAGTACTTAACTCTGCATCTCTGAATCCACTGCTACAATGGGCCTGATTCTAAGAGTTGCTGAGATCCTTAACTTCCACTGATATTAGAGGAAAGGACCTTATGGGCTGAAAACTTTTGTTTCTAAAATATGGTGAGTTCTCTAGACTAAAATATAAGATTAAAAGTGTGTTCTAAACCTCATAAAAGATTATAACTGCCTCTTTTACCAGATGTTAATTCCATACATTTACAGATGGCCTTCACTACAGTAGCACCATTCAAACTTAGTCAGTCTTGCTCTGAAGGAACAATGATGCTGTAGTGAAAGGAAACTTCATTATAAGTGTTCAGAGCAATAACAAATGGGCAAAAAGAAAAAGCTAGAAGAACTTCAGCGTATTATTTGTCTAGGGAATTAATGAATTGTTCTGATTAAAGAACCCATTTTGCCCTTGGCTATCAAACATTTCCACTCACTCATTAATTCTCAGGAAATGCCTTTTGCCTTGATCTTCCTTCTCTAATTGTCTCCCACTTCCGACTGCATTCTGTGAATAGGAATGCATTTGCTTGTTTTAATGCTCTTTTTGTATTTTTATTATTTTTTTAAATTAATTTTTTTTGTTGCTGTTACAAACATACAGTTGCTGTTGCGAGAAGTTGATGAGTCTTTGGCAGGAAAACTGATCTATGGCTTAGAGAGTTAGTTGCAGGGCTAAACATTACTTTCTCCTATTATGAATCCTAGAGATACAGGGTTTTTGAAGGAGACAGGAGGATTTGTATGTTCTCTTGGTTGCTTTTCTGTTTCTGGTAAAGCTGAGCCAGAGTGGAAAGAAGAGTTACTTTAGTCAAGGAAGAAAGAAGAGCACCAAGACCCATAATTAGCATTGATGTTGTCCACCAGATACTATGTGAACTCAGCAAGTCCTTAATAGTTTCGTCATTTTCAGAAGAACTACTTCTGAAACCAATAACATGAGGCGGGACATTTAAGCATCAAATGTAGCATAATTTATTAAATTCCGTTTTCTGAAATGTCATCAAAACATGGAACCCTAGGTAAGTCTCCATATTTCGTTACTTGAGACAATGAGTCAATCATATGTTCTCTTACTTGCCTGGGAGGAAATATGCCTCCATAGATGAACCCTTTGCCTGATTGAGGGGAGTCTTAGAGTCTGTAGGCTTTGCCTGCAAAAGAGGACCAGGGTTGTGCAGTAGATTAAATGGAGGAAGACAAGTTCTACAGGGATGCAGCACTCTCTCCTGAATTAGGGAGTCGGGAATTAGGGGATGCCACCTCTTCCTTCACCACGATTGGGTCTTTCAGAGAGGTTGTAGTGTGTGTCGACGAGTGGTTCTATGTGATTCATGCGATCATCTCCTTTTCCATTCACCACTAACTCCGAGACAGACATTCTTAGAATTTTTTTTTTGTTAATTATTCTGAGTACCAGTAATTTAGTGATATTTTCTCCCTCATCCCAGATTAATCCCTGGAGGCCTCCGCCCATTTTAGTCTTGTTCTCTCTTATCTGAGTTTACATCTCTTTTGACCATCATTCAAATTTATTCTCTTCTAGCAATGGGTTGCAGTACTACTGTATTTCCTCGGTTTGGCTAATGGCCGTTTACCTGAAAGCTGACATGGTGAAGCTTGCCTGCTACTGTGGTAATTCGATAGTTCATAGGCTCTGTGAACAAACCCAAGCTGTAAACTGAGAGCTGGAATAGCAAAACTAATCACTAACAGAAAGACAAACATCTAGAAAAGAGGAAAAGAAAACCCTTGTGTGATGCACATTCTATTCAGTAAAAACAAAGTGCACAGCACTTTTCAAAAACAGCAGAAGAGCAACAGATTGCATGAAGAAAATACATAGTAGTCAACCATGTGTGGAAGTATATGGAATACCAGAAACAACCCAAAAAATCCCTCTTCTAGGACAGAAGAGGTTTCCAGAGACTAATTTGGGGGGAAGGGGAATAACAAGAAAAACATAAACCAGTAACCTAAATTAGAGGAGAGGAGGAAAGAACATATTAACATGGAAAAAAAAGCTCAGTGCAAACTGTCGCATTCAAGATTCACAACTGGAGATCATTGGACAAACTCCTCTGACAGGTGATCACTTCTTGAAGACATATTCACTTTTTAGGGAAACAACTTTATATCTGGTTCTAGATGTGACAATTGGTGAAAAGTGAAACAGATTACATCCATGATTTTCTTAATCTCAATATCATAGATTAATACAAAAACACTTGCACAGTCATATGCTTAACAAATGTAAGAAAAAATCAAAACATCAAGGAAAATATTTCAGACTTAATTTTTTGGGGGCAAAATATGTACCCTCAGGAAAGGATTATACTGGGTACATTTGTATATAAAACCAAATGTGAGATGGTTGGTATTCTGGGCTTTGGTTTAAAAAACCCTCATATTTACTTGCATACAAAACATTTAATATGCAATGAAAGAACATTATTTTGTGTTTACATATTAATTGATTCTTGTTTGGTTTGGCTGGAAGCAGTAATGTGATGTCATTTTGCATTTCATTTTTTAATGATGCATATGGTATCAGTCTTTTTTAGTATAAAAATTAGATTTTGAGTGGGTGCAAAAATATTTCACTATTAATAGTTATTGGTCCAAACAGTTAAGTAATTTCACTTTGTTATTGATAGTGAAGTATTACGATCAAGCCTGTTAGCGAAATACAATTTTAACTACTCTAGGCTCGCAAATTATAAGGACAAACTTCCCCTTGAGGACCGAGCCCAATTTCAATCTTTCATTAAAAAAGTCAGATTAGTGGAAAAACATCCCTACAGGCTGCAGTGGACACGGCATTTAGAGGACTTGCCACGGATATACTTACGAGGTATAAGTCTTGACTTTGTTCTTTGGGGTTCCCCTGGGAGGTGCAGAATACCATAAATGACTTAGCATTCAGTGGGTCAAACTTGTTTAATGAAAGAACTGATAAGTCTTTACATTCGTTGAAAAATTCTCGACTGACCCTTTGCTCCCTGGGAATTTACACCCGGCCCCAAAGAGAAAACACCACAGGCAAGTGTATAGGCCAAGACCCCCTTCACACACATTCTTCCAGTTGAGCCTCTGCACAAGCAACAAGGGTTCAGAGACCTACTACCATAACCTTTACTATTCCCTCCTTCCCACCCACTAAGGGCTACTTTTGATGCCTTCTGTCAAGAACCACCTACCTTATATTAATGCCAACCACTTCTGTCTCCTCCCCACCCCCCAGCTGTGGGGGCTGTCTCTCACTTTGTGCCCACCATAGGGACACTATCATAACAGACAAGTGGATTCTAGAAATCATCCACCATGGTTACTCCACTGAATTTCTCTCTCTTCTCCCCCACAATCTCCTTTACTGGTTCCTCTTCAGGGACCACTCTCATGAGGAGATTATTCACCAGGAGGCAGATTCTCTTCTCCAGTGAGGGGCAGTAGAATGAGTGCTAAGGGAGGAGAGGGTTCTATTCCCCTTGCTTCTTAGTCTGAAAAAAAGACAGAGGGTGGAGCCCTATTCCGGACCTTTCACAACTAAATATCTTTATTCAAAAGTCAAAATTAAGGATGGTTATGCTAGCATCAATAATCCCCTTCCCACAAGAGGGCATGTGGTTCATGGCTCTCGAAGGATGCCTATTTTCATGTAGATATTCATCCATCCCACAGAAAGTTTCTTTGGTTCCTGGTAGGTCAGGATCACTACCAGTTCAGCGTCCTTCCCTTTGGATGAGCAACAGCATCCAGGGCATTCACAAAGGTTTTCTCTGTGGTGGCAGCCCAAAGGAGATGTGGCAGCTACACAGTCTTCCCAGACTTGGACGACTGGCTCCTCACAGGTTACTCCAACCAAGAGGTCAGGTTGGCGACTTTGTCCCTGCGTCCTCTTCTGGCAGTGCTGGGTGTCTGTGTGAACCAAAAAAAAAAGTCCATTTTGACCACCGCTTAGAGGATAAACTTTAATGGAGTGACACTGGACTCAACTTCAGCAAGATTGTCACAGAAGGATTGCAGTCAATGAGGTATTTGATAACATAGGTTACTCACAGACCAAAGACTATGATCAAAGTATGCCTTTCTCTGCTAGGCCACATGATCTTGTGTACTTATGTGGCCAGGCTTCATTTACACTGCCTTATAGGCTGGCTCTGGTCCGTCTACTCACCAGACAATGACCATCTGAACATTACTGTGATTGTTCCTGCCAGGCTTATTGCCTCTCTCTTCACCTGGTGGTCGAACCCGGAATGAGTTTGAGTGGGAGTCCCCTTCAACACTCCCGCTGCCAGTGCCATCATAGTAACAGATGCGTCTCTTCTGGGATGGGGCGCTCACCTGTATGGCCACAATGCTCAGGGCAGTTGGATCTCACAGGAGGCCAGACTATACATCAACCTGCTGGAACTGAGAGTATTCTGGCCTGAAGGGCCTTTTCCCCACTCATACATTGACTCCAGAGCCAAATAATGTGGGACATCATCACCACAGTCTTTTATATAAACAAGCAAGATGGAGCAAGATCCCTTCCCTTCTGCCTGGAAGCAGCCAGGCTTTGGAATTGGGCCATCAGAAACCATACAGTTGTCCAAGCCACTTACTTACCAGGTATTCAGAATTCTCTAGTGAACAACCTAAGCAGGCACTTCTCTGCATGAGTGGGAAATACACAGCTGTGTCCTGAGTGAAATAGTCACTCGGTGGGGAACACCCCAGTGGGCTCATGCCATGTCCCAAACAAACAGGAAACTACCCCAGTACTGCTCCCGAGCAGCTATGGCCCACGACTCCCAGAGTGACGCTCTCCTGTTATCATGGACAGACCAACACAGAGAAGCCTTTCTGCCCATCCCCCTGCTACCACAGGTC